AAGTTTAAGACTGTTGGGAAAAATCTGAGGAAGAGTAGAAAAAGCTATGAGTTATTAAAAGATTGAAAAAATACTATTAGGGAGATATTTGAAGCTCACTTTCCATGTATTTAAAAAAAAAAACCACCCAAACAACCAAATACCTAAATACTTTCTGCAGCAGGAAATTACAACCCTGCCTTACCTTCTTTAGGATGAAGAACGCTTGGGACTGCTGCCCACCCCCAGGTGCCCACGCCACACAGTCCTAACTTTGTTTTTCCCCTGTGAGGTATATAACAGGCCTAGGAGATGACTGTATGTGTGAAGGAAATAAAATTGAACATAATAGAGTCAAACAGTAGAATAATTAACTGAAAATGTCCTTGTGAAGTTTCTAAGGCTATAGGATATACTTTTTTCAGGGGAAGTTGCCAAACTCAGTTACCTTCTCCCTAAACTACAAAAATTGCTAGGTATGTAAGGGAAGGTTTTCAGTATTTCATCTCTTGGAAGAAAGGCAAGGTTTTGTTCAGGTGTTGAGAACGGTGTTAGATAAACTGAAATTTCTTTAATTTACATAATTTTTTTACCTTTGCTTTTATGAACTAGGCTCTGCTCCAACAAAGCGGTGCTGTGCAGCTAGGTCACAGCATTTCTGGGAGTCACGAATAAGATCAGCCTGCCAGCCTCTGTGGCAGTCGACACTGCCCTGTTCAGGAGATAGATGTATGCCGCAATTGGTGTCTTACAGCTGCACAGGTGATGGTGATTTGTTTGAGTAGTGTTGTATCTCGATCAAGCACTCCTTGATCCCAGAAAGCTGCTTCTCTCCCCACCCCCACCCCCCGTATGCAGCCTGTGATGGGGTTTAGAGGATAGGGGAGAACAAAAGGTAATGGAGAAGTGAGTAAAGGGAGGTGTCTGGGTTTCAGTGGGTGAGGACTGGGACCCTGTCAGAGGACTCGGCATGTAACCGAGCAGAAGACTCCAGTCATCCTAAATCTGACATTAACATGGTTTGAGATTTGTATATAGGATTGTGGTCAAGGGGATGGATTGCTCCTGAGTGCTTAAATTACGATGCTGGACTGTGAACGTGTGTATGCAGGCATCTACAGTTAACCTTGAACATTGTGTTACGTCTGGGAAAACAGCAGGGTTGTTTTTGTGGGAGAAGGCAAGTTGGTTGTGCGAGTCAGATGGATTTGGTTTAGATTCTCAGGCTTTCTATGTTACAGCCTACAGTTTTCTGGCTCTAGGGAGTAGAGTCATTAGCGCAGTATTTGTAGAAGTAAAGAAGCAGAAAGCTTTTCTGTGTCAGGGGTTAAAGTAGTGCCTGGGAAAGGCTGGACCGACCTGTTTTTGAACTGTGCATTTTAGGAGACACTCTCTCTGTGGTTTGTTTTTTTTTTTTTTTTTCTAATCCAGCTCTGGTAATCTAAAATGCTTTTCTCTTTTATGACAGCTGCTAATGATCCTTTGGGGAATTCAGGTGACTGTAGTACCCTTTTGAAAGGGTGGAGGTGTGTATATAAACATCTTTAGACTGAGAAGTGAATAAAGAGCCTGTTTCCCCTACCGTGGTTATTTAGTTACTGGTGTGTTGCATCTCTACGACTGGTCAGTTTTGCAGAACTGTGTCTTGTCAGCAGGTATCGGGTGTTCAAAAGAACAGAGCTTCTGAAAGAAGATAGAGCAATACTCACTTCTAAGGTTGGGTTAGCTTGGAAGAAGGACCTGACAGAAGATACCGTGTCTTGGAACTCGATTGCCTGAAGGGTTTCTTGTAAATTGGTCTCTGGATTCATATGCCTAAATGCTGCCCATTTTAGGCACATAGGCAAATAACTGCATGGCTACTGCTCTTATTTTGAGATATTTTATATCTAAGTAGAAGTTAACTTCTCCTGTAAACCAAATGAGACATCTAGACTTTCAGTAAATGGTGAAAGCTTTCACTATCTTGATCCAATAAATCTTTCCAAAGGTGGAAAAATAACTGCATGATGTATCTTTTAAGAACAGTTGAATACAGGATGAGATACTCTTTATGTGAGAGAATTATCTAGAACAAAAAATGTAGTGCATTGCACCCAGCTTCAAAGATTTTCCATGCTGTGAACATCAATTTTAAAAAATAAAACATTTGCATTCAGAGAGTCTGACTCTTTTGAGTGGACATCTGGTTTTGAACAATACTGGTGTTTTAGAGAACAAACTAAAACTAAGAATAAAGCAGTTTTGTTGTATTTTTACTTTTTTTGTTTCAGCCACTTGTATTTACCATGTTGGAGGGCAGATTTCTCTGTTGCTGTGCTGATTTACTAATCTAACTGTGAGATTCTGCTCTGCAAGTTTGGATGTGGCTGCTTATTGTCAACTCCCTCTGGCAGTCTGCTAACCAGCCGTGTTACAATCAGTAGAAATTTAAGAATTGTCAGAGCTTGCTTGAATAAACATGACTTGCTGGTTGACCTTATTAGTCATCCAGTTAATATCCTTAATAAGAAAATTAATTGTCAGTCCACTTTTTCTTGCATTAGTTGCAAAGACTTTTGGCAAAGATGGTAGAGAGTTTTCACCTTTCAAAGGATTGCAGGAGTAGTAAAGTTAGTAACAAATTGACCATCTTAGCTTCTGTTGTTTAGTGTGGGATGAGCAGGCTTGGACAAATGCCTGAAAATATTTTCGAGGGAGAGCATGTGTAATCAGACTACCCAGAGCTTCATAGAGAAATGAGGAAAAAGCCTCTGATACCTGCTAATTTTTTTCTGCAAAGGTTCAACTGAGTTGTATCCCAGGTCCGTAGGGATAAGCAGTATCACCATATTGCAGCAGGTGATGGGCATATTTGGACTTCTGCAGTGTTCATGGAACTGAGCTATGGTTGGAGAGATTTCTTGTGTGGTAAGAGGACTGGAAAGAAGTCAAGACTAGGATTATATGTATTAAGGGAGGTTTAGAGCCATAGACATAATGTGGTGAGCTATACCACAACATTTTTTGTAGCAAATGGTTTCTTAGAATTGGCAAAGATAATAGAAAGTGAAGCTGACAAGATTAGAAAAAAGACTCCTTATGTTATAGTTTGCTCAAATGTTGCAATTTTAAGCAATTGAATTGTAAATATTTGCCTTTTAATTTTAAGCACGGCAGGTATCTTCACTGTTGCTGTCAATTTCCCTGGGAATGAAACAGTAATATTTTAGACTCTTGTGGCAGGTGTTCTTGTGAATTTAATTTTGTTTGATTTACTCCAACCTTAATTTTTTCTATGTCAGGCTGAAAGAGAAAGTGATTATTTTTCTTCTCCTGGAACTTGCATTTTTTTCCTGAGGCCCCGAATCTTCAGCCATCATTATACTACTCATGTTTCTGTCCCCTTCTTTTCTGTAGGGAAGATCAGGCAGAAAATACTTGGGTTTTTTTCTACAGAATTATGACTGAAGAGCAGATTGCTAGGAAATGTTTTCAGAATTGCGATGCTGGCAATTGTAGACCAAATCCTTGTAGGATGTTATGTGTCTGAACCTCTTAAGAGTAGCTTCTGCTAGAAGCTTTTGTTTACATTAGGTAGCTCTCTTTTTGCTTCTTCATCAAAGCTTTTAAGGAATCATGTAATCTCTGAGAATGCAGCCCTGACAAAAATATTTCATTTTTTCCCTTTGCATTTTTATTTTTCTTGATTTATGTTAGGTAGGCAGCAACAGTTAGTTTCCTGTATGCCAGTACTAGCAAAATGACAGCTTCAACAGTGATGCTAGTTTAAAAAACAAACAAAGAAGCAAAATAACCCAAATACCTGCTTGGACTCTTCACAGTTTGTACATGTGTGCAGTTGTATCATTTCGGCAGTCCACATACTGCAACTACCCTCCTTACTAATGGCTCTACTACTTGAAGCTGCATAAAATAACTGCTAATAAATGGTGTCTTTGCATGTAGATGGTCTCTTTGTAAGGGCTATCAAGAGATCAGTTAAACAGGCAGGAAATAAAAAAGCTTGTTATTTTTCTGAAGTTCAGAAAGCTGTGTTAATGGTTGCAAACTTTACCTTCCTGGACTTCAATGCCTCCTTTTCAGTTTAGTAAGTTCAAGGCACAGAAAAGCTACTATGTTAATTCCATATCCAGTAAAGATTAAAAGTCACTTAGAGGGATGTGAAACAGCTAGCGAACATCTGAAATACTGAATGTCTAATTACATTTGTACAAGCAACATTCTTTGGACTTGAATACTTACATCAGATTATTAATACCTGATACTCCTGCTATATTAAAAGCTTTCTTCATTACAATTTCGGCAGCGTTCCCCCACTGTTTTTCAGGTTTCCTTGTACTACTTATCTCATGTTTTCTTGATAAAAGCATTAAGATCCATTAATATGGAATACTGCTATAATAATAGGAGCCATATGTAGGCAATTGCCTTGTATGGTCACCTGTGAACATACTATGTAGTGTAAAGAATAAAGCCTTCTCCCTGAGACTTGGGACTTCTGTTTTAGAAACTGTGATTTGTTTCATTGTGCTCTTCCTGTCACAGAAATAAGCTAGCTAGGGCTGGCTGAATTGTGCTGCACTACCTGAAGGCTTTTTCCTTTATAGGGCTTGCAAAGGTCTTTTTTTGCAAGCTGACATATGTGTTGTGTCAGAGCTGTGTGAAGAAGTGTATCACATTATTAAAGAAATTAAAACTCCAGTCCAGATGTCACATGACTTTTGTGTTTTTTAAGTCTCTTGTTACTTACTACAAACATGTGAAGATGGGGGAAATACCGGGGTTTGTCAATATTATTTAATGTAGATGAAAACTGTTATGTGCAGTGATAACATATGTGCCCAGAGCACTTTAGGGTCTTAATAATTGTATTGTTAGTAAAGCTCGAGACTTCAGAGAAATGGGAAATACCTTACTAAAAAATTATATCTAAATGCTGAGGAAGAGGTAAATTATAAAGACACGTTGTCTAATGCAGCTTCTCTGTCTCCTTCTTTCCTCTGTGATCTCATGTAGCAATGGGTCAAGAAGCTGGCAAACCTGCCTGGCCCAAACCATCAGGAAGCTATCAAACTATTACAGGTAGAAGATATGGAAGAAGACATACCTGTGTCAGCTTTAGAAGATCTTTGAATAGCCAAGACAGAGATGAACATCAACGTGAAGACTATAGACAATTAGAAGGGGAGAATGTTCAGAAAGATAATTCTTTACGTAAGTGTATGTCTTTGTATGTGCCGTTTAGTTGCAAACTAAGATGCGTGGGGGTGGAGGGGAGGTGCACATAAAGAAATGTGAAGGGAAGAGAGCAGCCAGTTAAATAACACAAGTAAAGTAGGTTTCATATGGCTTTACAGAATGAAAATTAACATGAAGGCAAATTATAGTATATCTTAGACTCTTTAATTTTGCCTCAAGTGCATTCCTGAATGAGTTAATGCACTCTAACCAACTAGATAGCCATAAAACTGTATAATTAAAATTATTTTGTCTCCAAATCAAATTACGAATCACATTTGGAAGAAAATACATATTCTAACTTTCTGTTTGGAAGTAGGCTGTGAAATATTTGATGCTAGGGAGTCCTTTTAATTAACCATGCGTGTTTCATTTTCTTGTTTTTTTTTATTTAAGTTTCCAAATCTCTTAATATTGACTTAAACTTTTAAGTACTCTCAAGTTATGCAAGCCATTGTATGTTCAAAAATAGTTTGGACTGTCATCTTGGTTAGGAGTTTACAAATGACCTGAACTAAGCATAAATTTTGTAGTAGCCACAGTATACATGTTTTTACTTTCTCTAACTCTTGCTGCTGGGTTTGATATTTATTGTCCCTTTATGCAAGAGGTGTTCAAGAGTAACGTAACCAGACTTGAACTTGCAATGATAGTAGCTACTAACCATAATTCCACATTTATCCCTGCTATTATTTTCTTACGAGGAGTTGCACTCCCAGCTGCCTGTACCAAATGCAGTGCTATTAGTATGTAATTTATAGTGGCAATAAGTGGCTTTATCTGAGTATGGCAGGAGGCACAATTTAGCTTGTTAATGAATGGATAGTCCATTTTTTAACTTATGGAAGGAAATGTTGCAGCTTTTTTAATCTTCTGGTGTATTTTTAATATACCTGTTCTCATCTTAAAATTCCCTTTTACATAAACAATATAAAAATGCTGCTTATAAACATGTTCCTTTAATACTTGTGGTTTTTCTATTGGGTGAGCTGAAATTTTGTTGTTTAAGTCTATTTCTATATGCTTAGTTTATATAAATGAGAACATAAATATATTAATGAAGAATGACTGCATCTGTGGTAAATATTTCTCTTTATTAAATTCCACTGCAGGAATTTAATTAGGAATTTAAAGGAATTATCCTTTCTTTTTCATGAGCAGTTGCTGTAGATGAGAGTATTGCAATTGTTTTTTGATTATTCCAATGTATTCTTTCTTACAGTTTTCTGTGATGGTTCCAGTCCACTGGTTCAGGTATCTTCTGATTTATTAGATGAGCCTTTATTAGAAAATACTGGAACTGGAGAACCCATTTGCCAAACTGCATCGAGCCAAACTTTTGAAGCAAGCATGACACCATTTTCTCTATTCTCTTATGGTCTGGAAGGCAACAGAATCTCAGGGAGCTCTGTGAATCCTTATGAAAATTCTGAAGACCTTGCAGAATATACATCTGGGGAACATAGTGATTTGAATGGTCAGAATGGAATTGCTTTTGTAAACATTGACTCTTATGAACCAGATAGCAGTGATGGAGAGGAAGATGATGCTCAGGACAAACTTTCTTTGGCAAGAGAAGCAGAAGGTGTATTTCAGGGAACACTAGATAACATGTTTTCTGAGTTAGAAAATGGCATAGAGTATTTTACTGACTTACAGTCCCGATTTTCCACTCTCACCCACAGTGTTTCTAGAGAATGTTGTGAAGCAGCAGGACCAATGCCTTTAATGAGATATTTTAGCATAGATTCAGACTTGGCATGTCCAGACAACAGGACATTACAATTGCCTGCTGAAGATCAAGCTGTACCAGAAAGTAACTTGAGTGGTGCCGGTTGTGAAACACAGCAGATAAGAAATGTAGTGGATGTTGGAATCGGAACTGCTATAGCGATTGATAATGAATTAAATGTCAGTGATGGAAGGATTGACCAAGGAAATTCACCTCAGCTAGTAGTGAGACCTAAAATAAGAAAACAAAATACTGCAAATCAGTTGGAGAGAGAGAGGCATTTCCCTAATGATATAGAAGAGGAGAGTGGTTCCTGGAGAACTGAAGTTCCTGGAGTCCAGCGAGGCCGTACTGAGCCTGCCTTGAGAAGTAGTGAAGAATACATGAGTTCTAGTATGTTCTTTGACTCAAGAGAGTATGAAGGTCATCAAAATAACACAGAAATAGTCCTAGGGAGAAATGCAGCAGCTAAAGATCAAAAAGAAGTGACAGATGATGGCACTGTCTGGGATGATTTTGAAGACGGCAACAGACATTCACCAGTGTCCCACAATGATGAAGACAGGTAAAACTTCACTTCTATATCTGGATTAGTATTGAATCTTTTGTGTAAATAATGTGCAAATTTGAATAATTTGTTAGCAAATGGGATACAAAAACTTAAGCAATTTCAGAATATGATCAAATAACATTGATATGCATAGACATACTGGGTTTAGCAGATTGAAAACTGAGCTGCAGGTGTTGTGGATTGCTGTGTGAGGTGTGCTCTATTAAGCATGTTTGTTTGCATATTAATTAGTTTTCTGTAACTTTTTGAAGTGACATAGCTAGTTGATTATACTTTGAAGTTTGGTAGGTGTCAGCTGTCACTGTTAGTGTTGAGTGAACTCTGGAAGCAGCATTACCAAAGGTAGCAGTAGATTAGTTCATCCTTTTTGAGATTCTACTAACATCACTGTTTTGTTGAAGCTGCCCACAACTTGTTATTTATTGCCCTTTTTTATGTGGTGGCTGAGCAAATTCTTCTTGGAAAAACTCCCTGCCATTCATCTGTTCAGGCTAGTGGATTATGTAATTTGCAGTAAGTCATCCATTGTATGATTTAAAAAAAGGGACTGTTGTATATGGTTTAGGGATTATGAGACCTTTAAGTTTTGTTTGGCTGGGAGGTAAGACCAACATTGCTTATTTTTTCTTAAGCAAGCATTAGTGTTCTCAGCATCACTGCTGCTGTTTTCTGTTTGTGTGCTAGGAGAAGGATGTGCAGGTAGATCTGGGCTTGTATTCCTGAGTTATGTACTCTGCGGAGGCGGAGGGGGAAGAAGAAAGCCTTTTTGCAAAGTGGGATGGGCAGAATTCTTTCTTAGGAACTGATTTTTTTATTTTTTTTTTAATCAGCTCTTTATGTGTATTTGCCTTATACTACATCGCTAAATAGTGCAAAATGAATTTCTGGTAGAAAATTTTCATAGAAAAGCAGGAAATCGCAACATGTTTGTGTGTGTTTTTCTTTCCCCTAAAGCAGTGTTTAAATTCATGCCCTGTTGCCTTGTTTAAATTGCAGGTCAGAATGGAGTGATGGAGAATGGTCTACATCTGTGCCTCCCTATTTTACTGTCACTGATAAAGACCAGTCCTCAAGTGATGAGAGCTGGGAGACTGTTCCAGTCCGGGACGAATGTGATCCTGAAGTGCAGAGCAGCAGCAGTGGCATAGAAGAGGAGAACACAGATGTTTGTTTCCAAGGACGGTATGGTTTTATTAGCTAACTTACTGTAATTTCTGACATCAGCAGTAACACAGAATCCATATGATGCGACAGAGAATCACATCAGTTCTAAAACTAGTAACTATACTAGCAATAATCATTTGCGTACATCAAAATAATCTAAGTACAAACAATTCTATTTTATGAAAGATACAGCAATAATGAGATAGCATTGACATGTAGTGTCAATAAGGATAATAGGCTGGATATACCCACTTAAAAAATCCATATTAGGCGAGTTAGTTGTAAAGACATATATGTTGCACACACGTGTTCTGATACTGCTTAGTACTCCTCGCCAAACAGTTGTTTATCTCTTTGCTTTTTCACTTCCCATATTCCACTGCTGCACTTTATTTCTGCAGCCCTATCAGTGATTAAACTTGAACTACTTGGTGAGAACTTATTTTTCCAGTCACTCAGTACTTTACTTTATAAAATGTATCTGCCTTTGCAAGGCAAAATTTATAGCTATAAGTAGCCAAGGAAAGTGGTTGTGTTTTTTTTCCTAAGCATCTAATATTGACCTTACATTCTTAGTCTGGGTCTTCATAAAGCAACAAGGCATGCCTAAGTGTTCTTTCAGCTTCTTCTACTCTTAGGTAGACAGTACCTATTACTGAGCAGTCCAAATCTGTTACCACTTTTTAGTATGGCTGTCTCTTTAGGCTTGGAGAATTAGTGTGGCTTTATGAAAATTCACCTGTTTCAGAAAAACAAAATGGAGCTGTGTGCTCTTTAGCTTTCTTTGATGTGAACAGCCTGCAAATGTACCCACTTCTGACATGATTCCTGTTTATTTGCCCTTTGATAAGGAAAGTGGGACTCACAGTCTTGGGGCTTTAAACATCCAGGTGACTTGTGCTTCTCTAGAAAATCCAGCAAGGAGAGGAGTCTTTCTCCTTATGCAGATAGCTTCTCTTGCAAATATCTCTTCGCAGTCAGGCCAAGTTTCCCCAAGAAGGCTGTTGCAGTGTATCAAGAGACCCTTTCTTTTTAGTGGCTTTAGCACCTTGTAGATGAATAAGATGTTTAGTACCAAATTTACTAGCCCTTGCAGAGATGTTGCCTGTACTAGGGAAAATGCAAAACAAGCTACTTATCATACTGTGGGCATTGAGCATTAGACAAATAATTTTCTGATAGAATCATAGGTATTACTAGATTGAGTCCAGAGCTGATACCACTTGGAGTTTCTTGTTCTTTACAGAAAATACTAAATTTCTAAACTGGGACTGCAATCTAAGAAACATGCAGCTGCAGCTGTTGTAATATGTGTAGCTTTTGTTACTTGCATGTGTTTGTAAATTCTCCTAGACTTTTAGTTTTAGCTTTTCATTTATTTCTTTGAAGGGAACAGACCTTATTGGAGGAAGGAGAAGTTCCTTGGTTACGTTACCGGGAAGAAGTAGAAAGTAGCAGTGGTGAGGAAAATGACCTGGTTAGTGATTTTGTGCATCCTGGATTCTTTCTGTTGGATGGAAATAACAACCTTGAGGATGACTCCAGTGTGAGTGAAGACCTGGATGTGGAGTGGAGGTATGCCTTTTTTAGTTTTTAGCATTAATTTCAGAGGTTTTTTAGTTATTGTTTTGCTTTTTATGTAAAACGTCAAAAATACTCATGCCTATCAGTATGCACTTGCTTCAGAGGCTGATAACCTGAATTTAAAGGCTATGTTTCTTCCAATGAGAGAAAAAGGATGTAATTTGCTAAATCAGTCTGTCGTCTGAGAAGATTGTGGTGGACTAAATATTCAAGGGATGAGTGTACTTCTTTAATTTTCAAGATGGTAAGTATAGTGGAAGTATAATAAAAGTAAAGCAATATGAATGTAATCAGCAGTCAGGTCAGTGCAATTCCATAATTGGTCTTTCTCTTTTGCATCTGGTCTAAGTTATATGCTATAGGCCTATTTTTGTGTCACTTTGTGATGCCATGCAATTACCTAATATGATCATAATTTTGAATGCTTCATTCATTTTTCTGTCATTAGATTACTGAAGAATATTACAATATACTTATTACAAAAATTCCGCAAATACCAGGAAGAAAGTGATCAGAGCCACTTGCACAGCTTAATCCTAGAATAGTATAGTATGTGTTTTAAAGTACAAACAAGCTAGACAGAATGCTTTCCAGTAAGAGACTTAATGCTTGCTCTCTTCTGCTTGTTAAAAATAACTACAGTGTAGACATACCAAGGACACTGGTGTTTTCTCCTTGTGAAGTTATTGTGAAAAAGCACAACAGGGATTAATGCATGAGAGTCCAAGCTAGAAGTAAGGCACATGTTCTCACAGTGCCAGGCAGCAAGCTAGCAAAGGAATTGTAGGATACGGACAAAAAACTGTTGTTTAAGTGTTGGGGATTGGCCTTGATAAGCTTCCTAACTAGTCAAAATATGAAGGAAGATGCTTCTGTAGTAGTCTAAGTTTTGTCTGTTGAGCATAGGCGGATCCAAACATGTTCTTGCTTGTGCCTATTTTAAGATTTGATCTCTGAATGTTGAAAATGGAACTCAAAGCAGCTGCCAAGCTATGAACTGTGACACACAACATAATCAAAATCTGAATGCTTAGTTGTAAAGCGACCTTAGTAGCATACATACAAAATTTATTAGCTGAACTGAATGTCCTTTTACTCCGGAGTAGTCAACAGTAAAAGCTCCCATCATGTTTTTCTGAAGTCTATATTGTCTTGAGTGTACCACTGTACTGGGAGCAGGTGCTGGCAGTGGGGGCTGCAGGGCAGCTTCTGTGAGGAGAGGCTGGGGCTGCCCTGTGTGGGACACAGCTGGCTCCAACAGACCCGCTGCAAGGTGGTGCCTCTGGGAAAGTGTATTTAAGAAAGGGTAAAAAAATGCTGCACAGCAGAGTGTGAGAGAGAGGAGTGAGGATGATGTGAGAGAAACAACCCTGCAGACACCAAGGTCAGAGAAGATGGGGGAGGAGGTGCTCTAGGTGCTGGAGGAGAGATTCCCCTGCAGCCCCTGGAGAAGACCACAGTGGAGCAGGTAGGTATTTGCTGAAGAAACTGTGCCTGCGGAAAGCCCACACTGGAGCAGGTAGTGAAGAAGTACAGCTAGTGGGAAAGACCCACACAGGAGCAAGTTTATCCTGAAGGACTGCAGCCTGTGGGAGGGACCCCACACTGGAGCAGGGGGACAGTTTGAGAAGGAAGGAGTGGCAGGGAGGAACTGCCACAGACTGACCACAGCCTCTGTTCCCTGTCCCTCTACACTGCTTTGGGGTAGGGAGACATAAAGGGGTCAGGAATGAAAGAGTGAAGTTGAGCCTAGCAAGAAAGGGAGGGCTAAAGGGAAGGTAGTTTAGTTTTTGTCTTTGTTTCTCACTATCCAAATCCGTTTTTATTGGCAATAAGTTCATAGAATCATAGAACAGCCCAGATTGGAAAGGACCTCACACAGGACCAACACAACCACTTCATGAGAGTATGTGCATGCAATTGTTAACAGGTGATGTGCAGTAATTTGATGTACCCAGTACTGATGTTATTACTGTTTACTTTGAAATTAAGACCATGTTTCTTAATTCACGTTTTTCAGGATACTTGATGAGTTTGGGGATGGCCTAGGGCTTGCTCGAGCCATTCCTTATATGGATCCTCAGTTTCTCGCATTTGTGGCACTGGAGGGACGCTTACAAGCTATGGAGGTATTAAAATACTCTTGCTGATAGTGTATCAGTGATGTTGTGACATAAATTTTCATTATTGTATCCTCTTTCAGCCTAATCTGAGACTCAGGGGAAAAATTACTGTTCTGTTTTAGCATCAACTCTCAGATCTGCAAGCTTGAAAATAAATATTGAAGTTCTTCTAAATGATGTAGTGCAAGAAGTCATTGATCAGTGCTACTCCTTGCAGAATATGTATTTATTTTCTCTTAACGGAAAAAAGATACCGATTTCTACCAGTATAAACATGTAATTTAAATTATTCTAAATAATGTTGCTAAATTTCCTACATAACAAAGGAAAGTTCATAACTGGGTCTGTGCCTATAGATTGTCCCAGCTTTTTTTGTGCAAGAGTACAATTGTATATCTCATTTTTATTCCTCAGCAGAAGATTTTTCTGTATTTGACTGTCTTGACTCCATGTGTTTTAAATTGAAAAAAGAAAAACCAACCAAACACCAAATCACCCAAAAGCAAAAAAGCCTTTTGTCTTTACCTTGTTCTAATCTCATTTTATCTATCTAACTTTGGATAAACCAGAGCATTTGTTATGGAGAACCACCACAGTTACAATTTTTGTCTTCTGTGTTACATGACTTTGGTCACCGTCAGAGTGAATATGGAGCTAGCTGAAATTCACTTTGATGCAATGCGACAATTCTTGCACTGCCAGAAGTCTGCCCTGCAGGGTATTTGTCAAAATAAGAGTTAAATGATGTGCAGACATATAATATGGTGTTACAACAATTAAATTGAATCTTTTGTGTGTGACATAAGTTTAGGGGCATCAAGGGGCAGTTTGACTCCTAGCTTTTAGTTAAAAGGGGTGAACAGGGCAGACTATATGTCATAGTGTGCCTGCAGACAAAATACCACAGATGCTTTAAAATGCTTTCTAAAGCTGACAGTCAGTGGAAGAGTCATAACTTTTTTCCACAGATATGTGCAAAATCAATGATTTTGTGAATAAACTTCATTGGATTTTTCCAAGGGGATGGAAATGTCGTTCCCTGAAGTTGGCAGTCATTCAGTTTCCAGGTAGTGTGCATCCCACAAGATATATGGGAGGTTAGCATTATTCATGATCAAGGACCATAGGGTCTTCTCCAGCTGTGTAGTATTTTGTTAGCATTACTTGTCTGGAGACACTTCAGACCTGCTTATTAGTGTGTCTGTTGATATCCTTACTATAAAAGCAGCATTTTGAAGTTGTATAGAGAAAATTCCTCATCTCTTTCTTAGCTGCTGGTTCTCACTACATCAAGAAGGACAGAACTCCAGAAGCAGTTGATCACCTCCTTTGCACCAGAGCAAGCGGATCTGTTTAAAGAGGGGAAACTAATCCCATCTTTTTCTTTTTTTAATCTTTATGTTACCACTTGAAGAGGAGACTGAGGTTATTATGGCTCTGAGGTTTTCTTTCTCATTACTGTGTAACAACATCTCCCTAGTTACTCTGTCAGCAGAAATGTGTGCTCTCTTGTCAGGCTGACCTGTAAAAGCAATCCTAGGTGGCTATGTGCATGGCTGGCTGAGAAGATGCTGTAATTATGTTAGTGTCACCAGGAACCAGAGCGTCATTGAACACACTTGGCAAGGAGGTAGATGACTATAAAGGTAGTTTTTCTCTGGTACCTGTGGTGCAGGTCATTGTGGATGTTGGACAAGAGGGAAAGCCAATTCTCTTAAACAGTATTAGTGCTTGAAATCAGCACTTAGGTATCTGAAACTTGGTGGGCATAGAAGTCTGGCATAATGGTATGCAGAAAATGGTAACTGAGTAATAAAAGGAACAGCTGTATTGACTGTTACTAAGTGGACCGCGCAGGTTCAGAATAATAGTGAATTTGAATAATTCTGAGCATTTCCTCCAAATCTCAAGGAGAATATACAGATCACCTCTCTTTTCAGTATGAAGGTAGTCACTAAAACTGTTCAGAAAATAAAAGCAAGGGTTACCCAAAACTGTTCAACATTTTGCTTGGGCAATATTGCAAGTATTTCTGGAATTTGAGAGAAAGTGGGCAAAAGAAGGCTCTGTAATGTCTGTTTATCCAGAATTAATTTTAATTGTTTGCTGAGATCCTATCTTTTAGTGACCACAGCAAGATGTAGACAGGATTGGGATATAATTTTTTCAGCTTTCCAGAAAACAGGACTTGCAAATGGCTAGTCCAATGTACTCTCTTAATAAAATATGATGTGTCCCTGACTGGATTAATATAGATGAGAAACTTGTATTCCTGGAAGGACATTAAGAACAGCCTTTAAACACAACTTTCCTGGTTGTGAGATAATTGTAGATGAAGATGTAGAAGTGTGTTCCACAAAATTAAAAAATTAAAATCTTTAATTGAAATAGCAAATATCTCAGTGTTACAAAGCCTTTTTGTTACCTTTGGTACTATGGTCACAGTACTTGCTCAGGTGTCCAAAATGTGGCATACAGCACTTTCAGGAGGAAAAAAATTGTATTAAAAAAAGGGTGGGTGTTTTATGATGCAAAGACCAAATTGCATTAACTCTTCAAGTCTGGCAAAGACATTGCTGAAAATGTCTTTGCTTTCTGCTAGAAAATGCAATTTCTGCTTTTTCCATTTGTAAGGTGTATAGAAAACGTTTGTAATACGACAATTTTTGTGCTGTAGTTTGTTGCACCTGCATGTATGTATCAAGTAGGGAAGTAAGAGATCACTGTGTCAAAGTGATCAGGATTGAGAGTTCTTTGAGGGAGGTAAGAATTGAAGCTAATTGTCTGTCTTCCTCATGATTGGTACTTTATGCACCTCGTCTCTCTCACCAAGGGTAAAGGAAGTGATTTCATCTGTTCTTGATGTAGTTAATCTTATTTTGGGGCTCAGTACTCTTCTGGTTTTGCTAGGCAATTTTCTGCAGGATGATTAGATTTCAGATTCACTGAATACCTTTCCTGCTTCTTCTACAACTTTTTGCTCTCACCTTCCACATCTTACTGCTTACATGCCTGTTTTCTTTCTCTGTTTGAACAACTATAGCCCAAGCTTGCCACTTCGCAGTTACACAGTATCTATGTACTTATACTCAGCTTTCTAACAGGCTGTTTGTTGCCATTTTTGCTGTTTCAGTATTATTTAGATCTGGCTTTAGGGTAAACAGCTGTTACTTAAATCTTGCTTAGTCTGATTCTACCTTATGGGTGAAAAGTACCTCTGCTTTTGCTTCAAGTTTAAAAAGTAACCCATCTGCTTCCTGGTAGTAAGTATTTTTGCACCAGGGGTTTTATAACAGAGAAGTCTGAGCTTTGACTGGCTTTAAGTATTATTTTGGCTTGAACAGGTTGGGTTGAGTTTAATTAAAACATCATTAATAATCTGTCTAATGGATGTGACTTTATTCAACTTGTTACTGATTTACTTAATCCACTTCCTTAAATTTCCCAAAATTCGCTTATCTATAATAGTAGATTCATTAACCAGATTTTTTCAGCTGTAACAACATGATTTATTATGAGAGTCTGTTATAGCTCAGAAAATTTTCCAAAACCTTCTCTCCAGCAAACTAATTTACTGTAGCTGTGAAATACTTGAAAGGGATATGCCATGGCAGTGCATCCAAAATTCAAGTGTATCTTAAATGGGGCAGGGGGAAATCTGTCCCAAGTTATTATGACATTTGGAGAGGAGAAGTAGTGAATATATATTTTTTTTTTTAAAAAAAAGCTATGTTCTGTAAGACTCTGGGTTCCTAAAACATAATAATTTCTATGCACATTTTTTTTACTTCCATTTGTTTTACTTAGCTGGGAGTATTTGGTTTACTTCACTAGCAGTATAGAAAAGGTTGGGTGTCTCTGCAGCATCAGTGACTTAATTTATGAGTATTTCCTGTGCTGATTCATAGATGTGAGGAGCTCAAACACCTGTAGGCTATCGCAGTCACATTTTTAGTGGTGTCCAGCATTTGGTTTATGGTACATGGAGCGGTAAGCAGTCACACAAGTAATAAGAAGGAAATAAAGGTATCTTTGAAGTTACAAAGGTATCTTACAAAAATTGTAAAACAGGCACTCCTCTGCTCTGCTTTGGTTTTGAAGATGTGGTTTTAAGCATCAGAGTCATTGTGAGGCTTTCCTTCTGTGATGTTTCTTTTGCATAGCTTTTAAAAGCAAACAACACAATGCTTTTGTAAATTGTTTTCTGTTTCAGAGTAGTAATACTGGATATAGACAGAGAGACTTGACACATGTAATACTGCATCCTTCTGTCTGCTTGGGGTCTTATCTAATTTTTCCAGCTGTTAATCTGACTAAGCGTAGTGTTTTTACCTGAAAATTATTCTCAGACCATTGCAGCTGTAGCAGGATAGGGTTACAAATACTAAAATCACCTTGATGTTAGTAAGGCAGTATTGTCTACTGTAGCAGAATTGAATGTTTTTTAAGCTGTTAAGTTGGAGGAGTGTACCAGTCTTGCAGGTGGACTTGCATACTGCACTAGGGATGACGGTCCTAGGATCTCCTTTAAATTAGCAGTTTTCTAGATGAGAATGTGTGGCAGTAGGAGCTGTAAATATTTGTCTGTTAGCTCATGCTGATATCTCTGCTGCCACAAACATTTGACTAAGTGTAAACCTGCTAGTTTACAACTATAGTGGGATGGTTGCCTGGGCTACCTTGCCACTGCAGTAAAAGTGCAGGTGTGTTTTCAGGCTGCAGCTCTAGTAACTTTAGAAAAAGTTTAAGATGAAAGGCTACCGAAGGTTTTTCTGTATAATCCAGTTTCTCTAGTATGTTTTTGGCTTTTTAGTTAAGTATACCCCAACATTACAAAAATGTCAGGCTATCTTAAGCTTCTTACCAAGGGAGTTTTGTGGCCATTAGAATAAATAATTTTCATGCTCATTAGAGCAGTAAGTAGTTGTACTGTAGGGGTGTGACTAGTGTTCTTGGCTCTTCAGTTTCAGTTTGTTCTGCTGTTTAAACGGGTATATCTAGTACATTTTTTAGCTAATATAACCAGTCTGAATTCTGTGTTGCATTTTTTTTTTCTACTGGGGATCCTGTGGGGGTCTTGTGGGGTTGAATGTATGATGTGAACAACAAATCTGCCTGCTGTAGCATCAGAGTCTTAAAGATTTATTATGGTGAAAAATTTAAGTCTCAAACAAGAGAACTTCAGAGCACTGTCTTAAATCATTGTACCAATGACAAACATCTATGTGGATCCTGTTTGTTTGTTTTGTTTTTTTTTCTGAAAGACTACATTGGTAGTGTAGCCTCGGTACTTACTTTTTTTGTCTGCACCTGAGTAATTCAATAGTTGAAGCCAGGAAACATTAATGAGGCTTTTATTTTCAGAAAACAAAACATAATGACAGTTTTGTATTCACAAGCTTTATTAGATTTTCAGCTTGCTGCCTTTTCTGAAACTTTATAAAATGAACTAATACTCATTAGACAATAAATTGTGGCTCTGTCCTGGTACTGTGAAAAAGCTTAAAAACCAAGCTGTTACAGTTTTGATCTTCAGTTTAATCTCATTCATTACAAAAATGAAAATGATGTAATGGTCAGTCTGACAGACATAACTTCCATTTAAGAAAGTAATACTATTAGAATTGGATTCCTTTTCTTGATTATTTGTTTTTACATGGAATGTTACACTTTTGGGTAACAGGATTCGGTCTCTGCTCACCCTTCTCAGGCTGCTGTTGTCCATTTGGAGTCTCTTGGATTTGATGGTGAACAAGCTTGTCCACCAGCTACCAAAGAAACCATAGATCATCTTACGCAGATTGTTGTCACAGCTGACCATGAAGGTATGGAAAAACAATTAACAATTAATTTCCACAAAGTTTATAAGAAGAAATCTAGTTTTCTGTAATACCATAGGTGCACTATTTAAACATACTTAATGTGGAGCTGGCAATGATGTTCTAAGAGCTTTTGAATCTTGAATCAGACGGAACGTAACTTTGGTCAGTTTGAAAAACTAATCTTTACTGGAGTGTAATTTTATTTTGTAATAATCAGTGGTACTGTTGATACTATGTGTATTGCAATTTCAGCTCATTTTAGACGTAAAACAAGCTAATAATGCTTTTTCTTCATCATGGGTGTAGGTCAAGAGCAGTGTTGCACTATCTGTTGCAGTGAATATGTGAAAGGTGAAATCGTAACAGAGCTACCCTGTCATCATTTGTTTCACAAACCTTGTGTAACTCTTTGGTTACAGAAGGTAAGCACTACAGGATTGATGGGGGGGTTTGTGGGTTTTTTGAGTATTTGCATTTTTCTGGGAAGAACAGTTTGTAACTTTTTGAAAACGTGGGATGCAGTGTCAAGAAATAACTGGCTGTTAGTTTTATGCATTATGGTACCAAATTCTAGTACAAGTGAGGAAATTCCTTTATATCTGTAGTCACCCAAAGAGCAATTTCTTGAATAGGGGGTCGTATTTTTGTGAGGAAGAACATGCTTTGGTTTTAGTAAGAGTGAAAGAGATGGATGAGTTAACTTGTTTTGGTATGAGAAGAGCTTTCTTTACTGTACTCATACCTTGAAGTACAGAAGGTGGCTTGGTTTTCTCCAAGAGCAAAGGATCTGGTCTGTCTTGCCAGAATGTCAGGCCCATTTATGGTGGTAATTAAAGTTGGTGGGAGAAATACAGGAATGTTTGTAGATTAGTTTTAAAAAAATTGATCTTTGGTAAATCTATATTGTGGTAGATTTCACTTCATAATCTGTCATCAGTTTCCTTCCAGATGTCTTATAGGCTTTCATCATATTGAGGCTAGACTGAAATTAACAAATTGGTGTTTTTTTTCCTTGCACTTCCACTCTGCTTTATGCACAGTAGAAGGCTGGACTTGCTAACTCTCAGTGGGCCTACAGTGTAACACATCATTTCTTCAAGAGGTACAAGAAGGAGGTTAATTGATTCGGATTAGGCAGATCAGATCAGAGCACCTCTAGCATGGGTTGGTGGTGGGTTTATAATTATTTTTTTTTTTAAATCTTGATAGGGTTGATTACCACATTGGTACTGCTTGTATTATGTCTTGCCTCTTTCTGCTGTCATAGTAAACTGCTCTTGCTGAAAACTAGGACAAAATAATTCCTGTTAGATCTGGGCTGTACCTAGGTTTTTTTAATGCTTGCCTCAAAAAAACAAAACAAAACAAATTCCCACCCGTAAAATGAATTCTTTCAAGAAGACCTTGCAGGGAGCCTGATGTATTTGCTCTGTAACTGGTGTGAAAGCAAAACAAAGCTTTCTTCTGATGTTGTTAGCTGTCTCTTAGCTCCAGGTAGCCATGCAGTCAAATTTGACTTTGAGACAGTGCTCTTGTGAAGACATTAAATACTTCATAAATAATAACCTTTAGCTTTTCAATAGAATTGAATGCAGACTGGGCAGATGACCTAGGGTTTTTTCCTCTCTTTTTTTTTTTGTAGTCAGGAACATGCCCAGTTTGTCGTCATGTGCTTGCGCCTGTGCCTCCTGAAGCAGCTGCTGCCACCGTTTCCGTTCTGTCTGATGATGATTCAGCATCTTCTGTTCACAGTGCTACAGGAACTTCAAACTAGCATCTGAAAATAAATCTTTGCCACCAAAACAAAAATGTAAATTTTGCCTGTTTAATTACAATGTGAAAACAAATATGTAAAAAAAAAAAAGTAAAATACTATTTAAATTATATATTTTAGTTTAGAAAGAGGTGCAAGACTTTCTAAACTCTTCAGGTTCGCGATAACAGCTTACATTTCCAAACTAATTTAGAAGAACGTGCAACCTTTTTTGTTGGCAGAATGTTACTGTTAACTGTAATGTCTAAAGCTGGTATTGTGATAAATTTTTCCACAAACATAATTAATGTGTTACTTTGTTCAAGTTCTTGCAGCTGCAATACAGTCTCAGCATATTATAGTTCTGCTAACACTATGTACAGCAGATTATAAATGAACTATTTGGTTTTGTAAAAATCAGTGCCACTGAATGACTTTGTAATTGATCTCTGATATCTGCATCAAATGTGAAGATATTCTGTGATTCCACCGGTGGTACAAGTTGATTTCACTGGAAACAAATTGCATAATGGCACAATATTTCATACCAGTTTATTCTAGAATAAACTTGATTGCTAATGTCAAAGTACTACTAAATTGTTGCTGTCTGTTTTGTTTATTTTTTTCCTTATAAATGCTAGCATCATTTTTAAGTCTGTGTTCTGAGTAAGTATATGAACTATGGAACTTCAACATTTGAAGTTCTAACTTTCTAAGAAGTTGCATTTATAAGAGCTGGGCAGCAGGTTCCTTCAATTTGTGTTTAAATTCCATGGTGTTGAAGTTTCCTGTATATGTGCATGCTCTCTCTTTTTAAGATATATTTATTTTTATAAATATCAGGGCTGGGGTTGCTTTCTAATGCAGATATAGTTAAAACATTTTTGGGTCTTGGAATACTAAGTTTGAAAAGGTAGTAGAAACTTCACACTTGTAATTGAAACTCACATTTGAATACTTGGTGTGTAAAGTTATTTCAGAAACTTGAACATTAGTAATGTTTCTGGTATTTGCACTGCTTGCAGTGGGTTATGCTACAGTTAATATTTTAAAGGAGGAAAGACTGGTCTCTAAAATGTATTTCTATAAATAATACTCCAGTATATGCAAAAACTTTAAGGGACATGGAGTTAATCGTTAGAGGACAAAGTTAATATTTCAATGTGTATATGTATACTAATGGCTTCACATTTTTTGTGGCCTTTGGATAGACGTACAATTCCTAAAATGTTGGTGCAAGAGAATAATGTACTAGGGGTCTAATCAAACCCTCTTAAAACAGTTTTGGGTTTTCCAGTAACTTTGAAATTAAGGTGAATTAAGTTCTTGGAAAAGTAATTTATTAAAAATTAACAATCTTATAGTAGCTCACTGGCTGCTCAGTTAAGATTATGGCTGCCATCATAGTATCTCATTTGTTTACAAATATTAATGTATTCTTTTATTAGTGGTAAAAGGTAGTAATATTCATGTTTGAGGGACATAATGAGTTGTGTGATACACTTTGCAGTGTAGTTTGTAGACTGCAGCAGAACAAAGCATTGGTGGCAATTGCCAAGAGTCTGCTCCTGAGGTTTTTCAATTATGCAATTCCAAAATTTAAAGGAAGCCAAAACAATAGGATACTGGTGAAAAGTGGCGGATGTGTAGCTTCGTGTTGGCTTATTTTCCTTTAATGAAACTTTATATTTGCTGAAGTAGGTGTCAGTAGGATTTTGAGAAACATGACAAGGAATGTAGACTTGTAGGCGTACTCACCAGCAGAATGCATATGAATCTGGTAAATCCCGTAATCTTCCACATCTCTGTTACAAACTGGTGCTGTGGAGGGTGGTTGATCATGGCTGCCAGCTACCACAGATGATAAAATAGTAATGCAGCCTTTAAAGTTCATCTTAGGTGCATATGGGATGTATGTGGATTTAAGAGAAAGTGGAAATTAAGACATCTGTATAGCTTGCAGGGGAAAGAAAACACCAGAAGGATGGACTTTCGTTCTTCAGTAGCTCCCTCTACAGCAAATGTTGCAGGTATTTTAACCAGTCTGTACTGTGTTTCTTTTTGGAATGGCACAGTATGTTGGCCTTCATTTAATCTCTTAAGCACAGTGTTTTATAAAGAGAATTACTTTAACTTCTGTGGCAAGGCTTGGAAATCCTCTTGCTAGACACTTTTGATTCCAGATGGAGTCAAGAGCTAAGCTAGAAGATTTTTCCTTCCCCTGTTCTCTGTTATTGAGAACCTCAGCTCTGACTTCTTCCTATTTCTAAACAGCTGTCTAAAAGAAGAGTGTTCATGTTGGGTTTTTCTTTTTTTTTAATGTACATATAGAGATCTTGATTACAGATCTTTCCTGGCTCCTCACCTGAGAAAACAGGAGATGAAGGGTCTTTCTAACGAGGTGCTTGAAAAGGCATATGCTAGGTCATACTGAAAAGATTACCAATAGAAGTGTTTAACACAAAATAGAAAGTAAAAAAAAATAAAAATAAATCCAAACCTTTGGATCATCTCCAAATGTTTGTTTTGATTATTTAATTTTTTGGGTAAATGAAGTAGTAAGACTGCTGTGCAGATTCTGTGTGTCTTGCTTCAAATATGATTGTTTGGTTAAAATAGGCCTGGTTCTTGAAAAGGCCCTGCAAAGTATAACATTTTTCTAGAATAATAATTAATTTTCTTTTTGCTCAAAGAGAATATCCTAGACATTTTCAAGTAAAAACTCTTAGCTGCAAGGCAGAAAATATTTTTTTTTTTCCCCTATGATGAGTAAAGCCAAACATTCCACAAGAATGAGAAAGCAAATGTGAAAAATAAGCTTGTTTCTGTAAAAGGTTCATGTTGTCTATACATGCACTAGTGCATTGGAAACATCTAACTTAATCAACTACATGATGTAAACTCAATAATTTTAATATTTCCATAAAATATTTTAATTCCAAAGTTAAAATGCTTTTTTTTTTTTGTTTTAAAAACTCAACAGCAGAACCTTATTAATGTTGTTTTCCCCCTTTTTTTGAATTCTGGCAGGTTTTAAAAGGACAAATTATATGTTTTGGCTATTATGCATGCCAGGTGACTGCTTTCATTATGGCTATTTAAGAGAAAACTTTTTTTTCCATGTGCTTTATCATGGTTTCCGGGAGGATCTGCTCCATGATCTTGCCCAGCATAGAGGTGTGACTGAGCGGCCTGTAATTCCTCAGGTCTTCCTTTCTTGCCTTTTTGAAAATGGGGTTTATGTTTCCCCTTTTCCAGTCACCGGGAATGTCACCAGACTGCCACAACTTTTCAAATATGGTGGCTAGTGGCTCAGCAATTTCATCTGCCAGTTCCTCCAGAACCCCTGGATACATCTCATCAGGTCCCATGGATTTGTGCACCTTCAGGCTTCTTCTGTGGTTTCAAAACTGATACTCTCCCACGGTGGGCAGTACTTCATTCTCCCAGTCCCTGCCTTTGGTTTCTGTGAATTGGGTGGTGTGGCTACAGCATTTGCTGGTGAGGACAAGCAAAAACGTTCAGTACCTCAGCTTCTTCCATGTCAGTTGTAGCCAGGTCTCCTGTTTCACACATGAAGGGAGGACAGTTTCTTTCGTCTTCCTTTGTTTTCCTATGTACCCGAAGAAACCCTTGTTATTTTTCCACACCCCTAGCCAAGTTCAGCTCCACCTGTGATTTTGCTATCCTGATCCCCTCTCTGTGCTCCTGGGCCATACGCCTATCATTTCCTAAGGATGTGTATCCCTACCTCCTCTACCTATGCTTTTTGGTTTTGTGTTTTAGTTTGGCTAAGAGGTCTAGACTTAAACAAGCTGGCCTCCTGCCTCCCCGGCCCAACTTCTTGCACATCAAGATTGAAAGCTCTTGCGCCCTAAGAAAAATGTCTTTAAATATCTCGCAGCTGTCATTTGCTCCTTTGCCTCTGAGGGCAGTTTCCCAGGGGATGCCATGCACTAGTGCCCAAAGAGCTGAAAGCTTGCCCTCTTGAGGTTTAAAGAACTGACTCTAATTTTTACCCGACCTGTACTCCTCAAGATTGAGACTTGCACCAGAGCATGATCACTGCAGCCCAAGCTAACTTTGATGTTGACCTTCTGATAAATTCTTCCACATTAGTGAACAACAGGTCCAGCAGTGCCTCTTGTCTGGTCAGTTTCTCAATCACCTGGACGAGGAAGTTGTTCTCAATACATTTCAGTAGTTACCTGGACTGCTTGCAGTTCGTTATGCCACTTTTCCAGCAGATGTCTGTGTCATTCAAGTCCCCTATCAGGATCAAGGACTGTGAATATGATGCTTCCTGCATTTGAGGAAAAAAACTCTTCATCAACCTTCTCTCCTTGATCAGGTCGCCTGTAGTAGCTGCCAACTGCAAAGTTTACTTTGTTGGCTTGGTCTCTTATTTTTATCCATAAGCTCTTGACCTTTGCATTGCTGGTCTTCAAAGACAGCTCTGTGCAATCCATTTTTGGCATGGAGGGCAACTCCCCCACCTCTGCTTCCTTGCCTGTCCCTTCTGAATAGTTTATGGCCATCAATCACAGTGCTCCGATCACGCAATTTATCCCACCAAGTTTCTTTGTTGGCAGTCAGGTCATAGCTATGTCTCATCTTCTGGAAAGAGATTGGTACCAGCTGGATTCTGTTCTGGTCATACATGAGGTCAAGGTGAGATCACAAATCTGGCAGGCTTTTGAGGCTGTTAAGCTAATGACAGTCAGGAATGGCCGTGTCCTCCATGTTCACTTTAAACATTTAATCCATTTCTCTGTTGGCTCTGCCAAGACATGGAACAGCCTGTTGGGTCTGAAGTAGCTTAAATTAATTCCTCAGCTTACTTATTTGTGTGCTTCATCAGTCATCTTTGGTCTTGGTTTGGAGTGGAAGTGTTCAATTGGAACTCCTGCTGCAGGCAGCTTTTCATCTGCCTGAGTTCGCCAGTTATGACTATTTCAGAACTCTGCACCACTGATTCCACTTTCCTATTGGCACTTGGGGCACTACTAGCTCTGGTGCCT